ACTTGCCTACAATAGCACTTCAATTTCTGCGTGATGTTTTAATAATATTCTAATTAAAGATGACAACTGAGATTCTTTGAAACAGTGTCTTGTAATACCTTTCCCAAAACCTAATGATCCCAATGTTTTAAGACCAATATCTCTTATGTCATGTATACTGAAAATATTTGAACTAATCATGAAAAATCGATTAGAATGGTGAATGGAAAGTAACAATCTTTACCCAGACGGTCAGCTTGGGTTTCGTAGAGGAAAAGGGACTATGAATTGCATTTTACACTTAGCAACCGATATCCAGTTAACTTATTCTAAACGCCAATATACAGCTGCTTTATTTGTGGACATTTCTGGTGCATATGATAACGTTATTCTCGACCTTCTGCTTGATCAACTCATTATCTGGAATCTCTGGACAGAACCACAGTGAACCTAACTGGATCAGGCCATGGTGGACTACGATATTTTCTGGTTTAACATTGTTTTTACTAAGTATTTTAAGGTGAATTTTAGTCTTAAAATATATCTTATAAGTTGTAACAAGATCATCATATTGTCATCGACTTCATATATTCTTAGTATATTTACAATCCATTCTGAAGCAGTCAAAGGCCTTCTGGAAGTCAATAGAAGCAATAAGGATGTTTCTTTTTTCGTCTATGCCTGGTTATAATAAATGATAAGTTGTTATTTGTCGCCCATGGAACCCTTAACGCATCCTTTCTGTTGAGGCTATATTATGATGTGGCTTAGAATACAGTATTGATAGATACGCAGCAAAGGATTAAAGATCAGTTTTAAATATATAGGTCCCACGTAGACCTACTTACATAATAAAAACTATAATTAAAATTGCAAAGTAAGAAATATGTAGTTACAATACTTGTGCCATTCAGTTCATAAATCCATTATGTACCGGGTGGCCCAATAAGCCGATCTCTCGGCTATATATCAGAAACTATTCATGTTATAACTTTAGGAGAAAAAATTCCTTAGTAAAAGTAATCAAGAGAAATCGCTGTAAATAACTTTCAAGTTTCTGGGTTAACCGCTAGGGGGCGTAACATGTGAATAAAAATTTGAAAACCAGTTTTTTGTGAAATATGCCCAATTATACCAAGTGTTAAATAAGTAAACTAGAAAGAGGCCTAAATTACGCACAAAGTTGTTCAAGTACTTTGTTTTTTATTTTTTCAAATAAAGCGTGGGGAGAGTGGGAAAGTATTTGTAGATAAATACCTATAACTTTGGTTTGGATCAACAGATTTTAACGAAATTAGTGTCATTAGAAAGAGTATTGATGATTTAATTTATATCTACTATAAAACAATTAAATTTAGTTTTAATTGTCATGGGTAGAGGGTACTTTTGAATAGAAAAAATTAAAATATATTTTTCTTTAAAATATTTAATGGAAACACCTATTTATTGTAAATTATAATGGAACTGGATAAAAGTCGTAACAAAACGGCGAAAACCGTATGTTGGTAGCTTTTGTAAAACTCTAGATATGAACAAAAACGCATAAACATAAATAAGTATAGTATTGACTCACCCTTTATTATATATAACTTAAAATTAAATATGTGAAAGATCAGACAAACATCTCGATCGTTAAAACTTAATGACGAATTAAATGTTTAAATTGTTTTCCATGATTGTCCACACAAAGATGTAATCTTTCGCGCGTAGACATAACAGCTGCTTCAATCTCAGCTGTTGATATACTATTTATTGCGTTTATAATGCGCTGTTTCATCTCGACTCCCGTAATTTGGTCAAGTTTGGTACACTAAGTTTTTCAAAATTCCCCACAGATAAAAGTCAAGATACGTTAAGTCTGGAGATTCCCCTTCCAATCCATTTATTTGGATAACTTGCATACAAATAATCTCGAACTCGTCTGGAAAAGTGCGCAGAACACCCGCCATGTTGTAATATATCTATTCTTGTTTGTAAGGAAATACCTTCCAATAAAACAGGCAACTGATTTTCCAAAAAATCCAAATATTTTTCGCCATTTAAAGTTATATCAAAGAAATATGGACCTACGATCTTTCCATCAACTATACTACACCAAACATTAAGACTCCATCTACCTAGATAATGCATATTATGCAGATTAACACCACCCGCACTATTAAACGTAGCCTCGTCTGTTCACAAAATCTTTGACATGATACGCGATTGCTCTTCTAGCAGATCGAACATCCAATTGCATTAATTCAGCCTTGCATCAAAATCTCTCTCATGTAAAGCTTTTTGGAGAACTACATGATAAGGATGCAGTCTAAAAAACAGAACAAATATTGGGGAAAAAGAAACCACTATATTTACTAAAACTCAAAAATCTTGAAAAATCTACAATTGTTTCACAAGATAAATCGTGCATAAGTATTTTTAAGAAACAGATAAAAGGATAAAAGCGCCATGGTGCCGTTTTATCGGAATATTAAAATAACAGTTGAATCAAAAGTTTAAAGGGAATTCCAAGTTTCTAACCTAAACGTTCATTTTGTAAGATGAAAAACCAACCTGTGATGTTTTAAAATCCTTTAAACAGTAGTTTTGGGTATGTTTAATTCTATAGAGATTTACCGACTACTTATATGTGAATTCTGTTGAATTAAAGCAAGAACATTGATTGAATTATCTTCGGTCATACCTCTACTACATCGTTTAAAACAAGGACGATGAAAACTACCAGTTTCTCTTAATCTTCCTACCTTTCTTTCAAATACTTCTTTGTCATAATGTCTCCTGTCAGAATATCTTACAGAATATACACGTGAGGCAATAGCGGCATTTTGATGACATTCGAAATAAACTCCAATCATATCATACAATTCTGGATCATCACGGATTATTAGTACTCATTATTAATTACTAATATTACCAATAGTAATATCTATTGAAAAAAGTGCAATCTTCAATTCGGATTATAATATAACACTTTCGAAAAAACTATTTTTAATCATATAAAATAAAAATGGTCAAAATAGGTATCAACATTAAGATTCTTTTGCTTTAAAAAATTTGAAAGTACCTACTGACTTATTTTTTAATTTAATTTATAATACAGGGTGAGTCAATACTATACTTACTTACGTTTATGCGTTTTTATTCATATCTCGAGTTCGACAAAAGCTATTAACATGCGGTTTGTGCCATTTTATTACGAATTTAATCCAGTTCCATTATAATTTACAATAAACAGGTGTTTCCATTAAACATTTTAAAGAAAAACGTATTTTAATTTTTTCTATTCCAAAGTACCCTCTACCTATGACAATTAAAACTAAATGCAATTATTTTATAGTAGATGTAATCCAATCCAAAAATATAGGTATTTATCCACAAAAACTTCCCCACTCTCCCCCACCCTTTATTTGAAAAAATAAAAAAAAATACTCAAACAACTTTGTAAAGAATTAAGGCCTCTTTCTAGTTTACTTATTTAGCACTTGGTATAATTGGGCATATTTCTAAAAAAATTGGTTTTCAAAGTTTTCTTCACAGGTTACGCCCCCTAGCGGTTAACCCAGAAACTAGAAAGTTATTTCCAGCGATTTCTCTTGGCCACTTTTACTAAGAAATTTTTTCTCCTAAAGTTATAACATGAATAGTTTCTGATATATAACCGAGAGATCGGCTTATTGGACCACCCGGTACATAAATATGATACAATACCATTTACGAAGGTTATTATTTTTATTTAAACACAACAAGCAATACATCTTATGGGTTTAGAAAACTAACGATGGTAACTTAATAGGATCCATTTATCGTCTCAACTTCATTATTATTGTAGGTCGATATTATTATACAATATTTACTTTTAGTAATATACAGTGTGATTACAATGCCCTTACTTGACATCGACATAACGAAGATTTTTTTATTTAATAATTATTAATTTGTAAAATAATTTGGGTTAAAATTAGTATTATCCACGACTAGTGGATAATAGTTGAAATACAAATACAATTTGTTTATTAATTCATATTAAAAATGGCTAGTTACTGGAGATAGCAACTAGCGGATATTAGTCAAACTAAGACGTCAAAAGGTCAAAATGTGCCAAAGTGGTTACCTATCTACTGTCGAGGTATATTGCTTGATGAAATTTATCGCCTTTCGACAACGTAATGTAACACTTAAAACGTAGATGAATGTTAATAAATATTCATTTTGAAATATGTCTTAAGTTTGTCTCTGACAGTATAAATTATAGAAGTTCTAACATCACACCCGCCTCGGATGTCTCTCACATCGGCTCTCGACATCAGAAGTATGTAACCAATTAATACAAACTCGAAAGATAAGTAATTAGGCGGTACTTGGTTGGATCTTGACTGATATTTTGACCCTTCGGTAATAAATGACCCTTCGGTTGTTCCCTGAGTTAGGAATAATGCTATTTCCTGCGGATTAAAAATATCACGATTGTCTCGTGGTTTAAGTTTCATATCAGCTAATATATTTTTATGTATTTAACATTTTTTTTCCTCCCCCGTTCCATATATCCGCTATTGACTAAAGATCTCGTAGGAAGTAGTACTGTAGTATTGACAGTTATGCATAGTATATTCGATCAATCCAGCATCAAAAAGCAACTGGTGTGAAAAGTTAATTTCACGAAAACTAAGGATTTTTTTCTTGGATTAAGTAAGATTTAGTGACACTTTCTACAATGGAATTGAGTTTTCAGTATAAGGTCTTCTTGATATGTTCAAAAGGTGCATCGTTGCATTTCTGATTGTCAATAATTTTGTAACTCCTTGGTCGGCCTACATAAATGAAAAGTTTTTGTTTTAATTTATCCAGACCATCTATTTAAAGAAGAAAAATGCATGGCATTCCAATAAATCAGCCAGAATGGTTCAAGTAAACTTGATCTTAAAAAAGGAGCAGAAAATGGAGAAATGCTTAGCCAAAAATGTTATTTAAATACAAAGTTAATTTCTGTAAAAGTAGATCAAATTAATAACGCAATATTTTACCTCCACACATTTGTCGTAGTTTTCTAGATCCTGTAACCATAGCATTGTGATCCAATGCCAGATTCTTTAATGGATATGGATAAACGTCATGTGCCCAATCTGGTAGGGTATAGTTGAATTCAGTCTGAAATTTAAAAAAAGTAGATTAAAATAAAATATATATTATATAAATACTATAAGTATATATATATATATATATATATATATATATATATATATATATATAATTAGAATTAAATTTTATTTGTTTGAAGGTCTTAATTTGCGATCAGAAAGTCGTCTTCCAATAATCATGGATTAAATTCGGTACTAGGAGAAAATTAAAAAACTAGTCACAAACAAATCATCATGCAACCTCTTCTGTCCACGGCTGAACATGGTAAATTTTGCTCTTTCATTTTTCGCCACTCTTCGCGGTTCTGTGCGTCATGTTGCCTTATCTTGGATATTTGTTTAATGGATAACGTTTTGTTTTCTTCTGGACGCCAATCAATTAGTTTTCTGATCCATCTTGAGTCTTTTAATCTCGCTATGTGACCTGCCTAATTCCATTTCAGCTTGGCTATACCTTCGACGACATCAGTGATACCTGTTCTTTTCCTTAGGTCTTGGTTCCTTATTTTGTCTTTTTTGTTACGTCGAGAATCGATCATTCCATGCGCCTTTGTGCCACTTGCATTTTAGTGCTGTTGATTTTGTAAAAGTGAGAGTGTTTGCTTCGTAAATCATAATAGGAAGAACACATTGGTCAATTGTTTTCCGTTTCATAACTATCGGGATGTTGGTTTTAAATAGTGCTTAGTGAACCATACGCCGCCCAAGCAAGTGTTATTCGTATTTGAAATTCACAGGTCTGATTATCCCTGCTTATTCTGATTTCATGATCGAGATGTACTTTTTTGTCAATTCTACCATTTGATTTTGGATGGTCAGGTGTTGGGAACATTGGGAACCAAACTTGTTATAAATTTGGTCTTACTGATGTTTATGATGTTTATTTTTAGACCTATTGTCAAAGACATGTTTTCTAAGGCTTGTAGCATCTTCGCTAATAAGTACTATATCGTCGGCAAAACGCAGATGATTGACCATTTCCCCGTTTTTTTTTAATTCTCTATTTTCTTACTTTATCATTTTAAATGCGAATTTGAGGAACATTATAAATAATTATAAATAAAGGACTCAAGCAAATCCTTGAAAAATGAAATATACAAAGCATTATCTAAATTCAAGGAGTACGTGACAGACTACCTTCTTCTTTAAGTTCAGCTCCTATCGGAGAGTGGAAATCATTCTGACAATTATGTTTTTGTTAGTTACGCACCTGAATAGTTCAAACGAACTGCATCCAAACCATTCACGAAGATTGCGTAGCCATGAGATTTTACGTCATCGTATGCTTCTTCTGCCTTTGATTTTGCCCTCCATTATATTCCTTAATAGTTCATATTTTTACTTCTTATAATGTGCCCCAAGTAGTCTAACTTTCTGTTTTTTATGGAATTTAAAATTTCGCAGACCAATTTGCAGAAGTATAGGTTCCTCTTTTAGCAAACTATCTAAGTTCTTCCTAGATGTAATACAACCATTGGCACAAAATAAGAACTTTCTTATAAAAAACAAAATTTTTTGCACAAACTATCATACATAGATTACAACCTCAATAACATGCTGGTCAGTTTCGACATCGCCAGCCTATTATCCAATGTAATTATGAAAAAAGTTAATCAGTACCAAACTAGAGAAGAATGACATATTTACAAATAAATCTAAACCGAATGTATCAGCTATAATGAAGCTAATTTCCAATTAAATAACGTCTTTTGTAATCAAGATTTTAAAATAGATATTGTCCCCTCATTATCTTCATTTTTATCACATAAATTCATGGAAGAATTTGAAATACTGTGCACAAGCATGACCTCGGTGGAGATTTGTACATGTATGTTCTCCATTCGACCTCATAATCACAAGCACTGTGTTGTGCTTCTCATGTATATATTTTTTCTTGTATATAAATAAATAAGAAGACGACTTTAAATAGACGAAGACAAAGTTTAAATAGGTGCATACCATTAAATTTGAAGCAATAAATTCATCTTGATTTAGTCTTCATTCAATAATCAAATAAAAGTTAAAAAGTGTACTAATTTAAATAAACATCTCAACAAAAAAATAACGAAAACTTAACATAATAAGAAATAACAATGGAAATAAAATTTAAATTTAAACTTAAACTAAACACATATAATTATTATTTTCTCCAACAAAATTAATTGCTTACTTCTTAAAAACGTGTTGGCTTTCTTAAAAGTTCCAGTCGTGCTTAAGAAAATCTTGGAGGCCTTTTTAAGTATAGGCAGTATGCAAACGAAACTGGAATAGAAATAAACTAAAAACTCAATTAACTGTACGATATATTTTACTTTTTGATTTCCACCTCGAGAATTATTCTCAAAATATATTAATTAAATAAATTTTAGATTGACCGGTCCTGGCAAAGTATGGTTAAGTTGTACTGATATTGGACTCCTAGTTTTTAATAAAAGCAAGTGGTTTTATTAAATAGTTGTTTTAAAAGTACAGTGTTTATCTACTAGATACTACTACGTAAGTCATCTATACGTAATTATTATTGTGAAAAGAAAACGTCAAATAATAAATATACACTACCGTACTATCATTTTGGGAGGTTAGCTGCTATCAGCGTCGGAGTAAGGCCTTTTCCACCGCAGCTTAAAATTATTTCACACAATGTCAACACACCTTCCGATCTAACCAGTCCAGTAAATCAACGTTCGAATATCACAAACAGGTATGAATCAGCCGCTTCACATTCTTTTCCGAGTAAGACCCAAGCAATTGTATTTAGTTGTATCGATAATGCTAAACTGCAGGATTATCTCATTACGTTGGGCACAATCATCAACCCAAAAATATTATTTTTCATCTAGATTATTTCATAATAGAATTTGCATGTATTTGGCAAACAAAACCGTAGTAGATAACTTCATGACACAACATGGCTCTATAGAAGTACTCGGCGAAGTTGTAACAGCACGAAGACTTGTCTCTCTAGCAGAAAGACTAGTCTTGTCTGGAGTCTGCCCGTCAGTTCCTTATCAAGTATTAGTTAAAGGATTACAGAATATCGGTTTAAAACTTATTTCCCTCATAACATTTCTGAAAATTAGCTCGACTCTTCCCGAATATAGTCACATATTAAGCTTTCGGAGGCAAGTTTATATAAGCCCTATAACATTACCAATTCCAGATTCTATTCTAATAAATTTCGACCAAACACCTTACCGCATATTTTTTCACAAGTTACACTCACCTGCTTTATTTGCAAAAATTCAGGACACATATCATCCCAATGCAATAATAGTTCAGTAACGGAATCAACTCATATTGAGTCAAACAATGAAGTACCAAATCAAACAGCTTCAACAAGTATACTACACAAGGTACCAAACACCCAGCAGTTATCAAGTTATCTGTTATCAAATATCCGAGCATATTATCTACACTTACAACGCTCCATGACAAAGAAATCACTAATACTCCTACTCATAGCAACACTTTCAATCAACCTCATTCAGCGGCAATACCGTTTTCAGAAACTTCGGAAGCAATATCCTACAACCTATCAGCTCCTTTTCCATTAGCTACAACTGCAGAAAATTCTAATAAAACTGATACATCACTACAATTTTCTGAAACGACTATTTTAACCAATCTTACAAATAAAACTTCAACCTCGACTTCTGTAACTACCAATGAGTTTGATCCAGTACTTACAAATGTAATAAAGCCAAAGCATCTAAGTGAAAACTCTAATAGCAGTTGCGAAAACGCAAGTTCTTTCATAAAACGCAGTATTGGTGAGATCGTCACGCCTCCTTCAGACTCAGCAATTTCATCAGAAAATCTTTTCGCAAAACCCAATCCCTCTAAACCAAAAAAAAAACGCGCTCCTCTGAAGTCCCATCTACACGGGAAACTCTTGAAAATTTCATTGATAATCATACTCCACCATTCGTTTTAAATTACCACCAATTGTCCTTACTGATTGATAATGTCCAAGGCTCCCCTGACACTATTAGCGTCGTCAAAGAATTTATAACTGATATCGATGACGTCACGACAAAAAGGCATAAGCGCCAAAATTTCTAAATTTATGTTTTGGTATCAAAATAAAATACATTTTACATCCTATCTACTATTAAAAAGACGCAGCTGTAAAAAGACGTTTCGTAAAAGATAAGACACCGAAATCAGTAAGCGACAAGATCCGTAGTGAAAGATGGTGCTTACGTCTTGGGTCTGTAAACGTGGTTATATCAATAAGATAAACAATAATTTGAAATAGTATTAATATTTAATGTTTTGTTAAGCGTTTAGTTAAATTATTTATCTTGAGAAATCATAATATACCATAAGAATCTACAATTTTACCGACTCTCGGTTAAGCTTTTTCAGAAAAAAATTTTTCGTTTATCTAACCACCATTTGGCCATTTAAAATACACTATGACTTAAATTTGCCATAGAAAAGTTACTACTTAGCCGACTTAAATACGGTTTGAACCTAAATAAAATATATATTTACTCTGTTGTATAGACTTCTTTTTTTAATTTTAAAGTTATATTTCGGTAATAATATTATTTTAAAAAACTAACATTTGATTGGCGCTTACTTCTTTTTTTTAATGGCTTTTAGAATGGTTTCTCGGGGACACAAAATATTAAATCTTGCATTGCAATCCATTTTGGAGAATCAGGAAAGCAATGTGGAGGAATCCAGCGAAAATAATAAATACCATAGTTCATTTTCCACTGAAACTGAAGTCCTCAATGAAGCGGTAAAGCATGATGTTATTTTAGAGCCTATGCTAAAAGAATATGAACAAGAACTTCAAATGCCTAGTTTTGTTTTAGATGATGATGCCATTGTGCATTTCAGTTTTCCTCTTAGTCCAAATTTGAAATTAACAGCCGTTTATTTTCGAATACTGATGAGACTGCCGAAGAAGAGACTGATTTATTAACCTGTGATAAAAAGCTTGTACCTTACTCAGATAGTGATGATACTGATTATAGTAATAATAATGCCGCAATAGTA